TTACGTCAGCTTTGTTATCCAACAGCTATTTTGATGTTTTGGAAAAGTACCTCAGATAAGGGATGCTGTCATCTACAGGAATTAGAATCACATGTAATGTCAGATGTCCCAGAGAGGCTTTGTGTGGCTTTTTTTTTTTTGAAGGAACACTGTCAGTGACACCATACTGCTTCCAAATCCTCTTTGTTTATCTTTGACAAGACCAACGACAACTCCTGTTCACCTCCACCTTTGTTAATATGGCCGCCAGACTACTAAACACAGGTTTGAAACAGTCTATAATAACCATCCAATAGTTTCCCTGTTTCTACACCACTTCTGGCCAACATATGGCATCCCAAACAAAGTCACACCCACATTCCATGTATGACATGGAAAGACTGACCTACTTATGCTACAGGAAAATTAACCTGGAGACAATAAAAGGCCTTATCTTGGATTTGAGAACTTTTTCGATAACATACGTCACTGCTGCATTACAACAACATTAATCTAGATTGGTAGAAAGTATTAATGCTATATCGTATCTAAATTCGTCAGGGTAAGAGAACCTGTCCATCGAACAAAATGTAAATGTAAAATCTGTGCTCTAAATAACACTTGAAAAAACTTGATTTTAATCTACAATAATATTACTGCATCTCGTTATATAGCCGCCATATAAATAAATATAACTGCACTTGTGTAGGCGATTCTGTCTACTAGAGAAGCAAAACAAACCTTCCTCAGAGACTGAAAACGATGGGTCAGAGAGTTCAGGGAGAGACGCACATTATGTAATGAGTCTGGTTTGAATTTTCCCTGAAAAGTAAAAATGCCTGCGATGGGTTGGTGCCCCATCCTGGGTTGTTCGCTGCCTTGTACCCGTAGCCTTCAGGATAGATTCCAGACCCCCCATGACCCTGAATAGGACAAGCGGATTCAGAAAATGGATGGATGGATACATGGATGGATGGATGGAAAAATGCATCTCCCTACCTTTTCCATAGTACATTCCCCAACCCAGGATCATGTGGACAAAGAAAACAAAACTTTCAGTACAGACATGTTTGCATAACAACAACTGGCAACAGAAACTGGGGACTCCAACAGCCAGTTCTCCACACTTATGACTGCAGCACATGAAGATCCCCACAGAACAAGATAAAGACAGCGGTTTAAGACCACTGCACCTGCAACTATTTTTAATAATAGAACAGAAACAAATTATAGCAATTATAGCCAACATGCCTTGTTTAACGTGATACAACAAGTTGCGGGGTGGATACGTGCCACAAGGGTGTGACAGAGTTGTTGAACAAAAGTGTTGAGTCAAACAAAAGGCTTTGTGAGAGAAAATTCAAATATAAAAATGGATTCATATAAATAAAGTGTAAATGTAAATCAAGGTCAATCGAAGCACTTGTTAGTTCAGGGCTGATGATCAATTGCCTTGGATACACAATGTATTCATTTAACCCAACCCCAGTTACGTTCTTAAAATCAAAGCTACAAGGTAAAATAGTAAAACAGTTCGAATTTGAATCTTCTGGCCTATAAAGAACAGAATCCCTTAGCTTAGACATACCGTTAGGTTAAAGTTGGCTGTGCCAACTGCTACATCCGAAGAACATCACATGGTTTAACATACTAAAGGCCTGTTTAAGCTGCTCCATATGATTTGCGGATTCAGCAAACTCCAGAGTTTTAGTTTAAGCTACAGAGGGTTTCAGTTGGTCAGGCTGAGTGCTGTGTTTGCTAAAAACTGCAACATCAGCAGTGCCTAGAGACATGCACTGGCAGGCAGTTGGCTGCCAACAGGGACAGATGTGACAACGACCCTATGCTGTGTGGAAGCCAAGTGATCACTCTTATTATGCCAACTAGCCGTGCCATGCCATAATTCGATATTGCCCTGGCAGTCCGTCACGCTCTGCCTCTTGTCGTTTAAATATGCAGTTATAGCTATAGCCCTACCAGGGTTATTCTGTATTTTACATGCTCATCTATATATGTATTTATCCATTAAATACTTTTAATTTTCATAACAGTAGTAAAGGCCGTCCCCAGGTTACGAGTGAAATGCATTTCCTTAGTCTGTCTTTAAGTCATATTTGTAGGCTAGTCAGATAAATAATAAAAGGGTACAATAATAATTAACAGTAAACAGTAATAATAAAAGTAAGTACACACAGTACTGTACCTTAAACCGACACACTGCTGAAGCTGCACCATGTTTTCACAAGCGTCACGAAGTAGTGTGTGTGTGTGTGTGTGTGTTCATTTTTACAAAACTCTTGCATTTAACTCAAATTTTTAATATAATAGGCTTTATGGCAGTCCATTCATAAGTAGGAGTTGTCCGTAAGTTGGACATTATAAGTCGGGGGACTACCTGTACTCAGATATCTGGTTTCAAGCAATTTCATAGCTCAATTCTATCTATTGATCTAGGGTGAGTTTCCCAAAGTTTTCTTAACGCTACGTCGTTCGTAAGCTCCATGTCATCTTTATCAAACCCCTTCCTTGTCATGCTTCCAGGAGATGGACCACTCAACCAAAACAAATGTCTGGTCATTATAATGATCCAGAGAACTGCACATGCAACTTTCAGTTTTACTTGTAATCTGTGATCATTTGTATACACTAATCTGTATCCATTATGGCATTGCTGCATTTCATTATTTTCCAGGGGTTATAGTGACTGTCTGCAATGGGTTGGTGCCCCTGTCCTGGGTTATTTCAAACCACATACACAGGGAAGAGGTGAGATATTAAATTAACCCCAACGCGACAGTTTTAGGGAATGCTAGATACTGAGTCACTGTGCCACAAAATCACCTTCATAAAATAAAGTAACATTTTGCTTGGTCATTATGACCTACAGTGTATAAAGCAGCAATAATCAGCTCTGCAGAGGGGGTGTATTGTAAGACCACATGCCCACTTCTTGTTAAAAGTTTATGAACTGGACTTGTGAGAAGACGGTTGCCAGTCCCAGCAGGATAAAAAATTTTACACCCTAGAAAAAAGTTACTTGTACTTCTATGGTTCTGATTTGTTTTTTGTTTTTTTTGCAAAACATTACGCAATGTTAGGCAGCCTGTTGCATCTTTTTGAGAGAAGCTGTTCTTTTTCTAAGCATCTCATGTTAATTCCTTATGACTAGACTCAAAAAATATACAAGCATATTCTGCTCTGACGGATACTTCTGTCATCTTAAGCATCTTAACATCAAGGTGTTGGGGTCAGAAATGGGCCCATTGTGTGGAACTAGTGTTCAGAGAACACTTCAACAGTTCAAACAAAATTATAAACAAGTGAACTGTAAAAATATCTGTCATGTATTGGGTGACCACTTAAATTACCAAACAAATCTCACTGTGAGGGAGCAGGTTCAAAGTAACTGAGCACGTTACCTAACCATTTTTTCTCAGTTTGGGTAAAACATAGATGTCTGTCAGATACCTGTCGATTTTAAACATTATTTAGTCGTGCCACACATACCTGGTGTGTCTGGGGTTAATGTGGGCCCCGGTCTTGCTTGAGCCAGGACCCACAGAAAAAAACGTAGCTTATTATTTATTCTGTGCTCAGACATTACCTCATGCCCTGTTTGTTCAAACTGCTTGGCATCTTCCTGAATGCAGTCATTTATTCCATGCATGTTTGTAGCTGCATCCTCATAATATAAACCTCACCCTATGAAAGAGTCAACTTTGCTTGTTTTCCAGCATGTAAACTTTCCTAGTGCTTTAAATTTGGCTTTGAACATAGAAATGTAGGGTTTCTTTCTTCTGGTTCAGGAGACCACAACCTGCATACTAGTTTTTTTTTTTTTTATTTCAGCTAACCCATTTTCACGTAGGTTTGCCTGGGAACAGCTCACAACAATGAACTGATCCGGATTCCGTATTCTGTTCCGTAGGAACGCGGGACAGGTACAGGGGAAAATATATAATTGGAGGAAATATACATAATTGTTCATGAAAATATAATTATGTTTAATCATCATCAGTTAAAATTCATCAAGTTGGAATGAGATTTTCAATTCGAGACAAGTCTGCACACATATTTACATGTATATAATAGTTTTAATACCTTTTAAATAGTTTGTAGGGTTTGCAACTACCCCAACGCTTTTCATGTGGCTGATTTAGGTTTCTAATGGAATAATATAGATTTGCCGTAGTATTTCTTGCGTGAGACTCTGAAAGTGCGAGTGTCACGCCCGATTCGTGCGTTGGTAATCCTGCGATCCCGCGATTCGCGCAAAGCGAAATCCAGGATACGTAGTGCACTGCCAGGACCAGCAACTTCAATAATACCCAAGTAATTTCTGGGTAATTGACAAATGATGTTTGACAAAGAAACAGTGACCAATTTCAATTACGAAACTACTTCGTGCAATACATTTGGTCGGTTTCGTGGAGTCCGTCACCTACTTCCTCCGTCGAATGGAAGTACATTGTTTTAGTCATATACTTTTCCCCCTAACGTGGTAACTAGCACTCAAACATACTTAACTTAATGCAATGTTCTCGCCCATATTAATTTCAGATAATCTTAAGGGCGAATCATGGTAAATACTGCTTAATTACTGTGATCATAATTAATTTAGCTGACGCCCAGTTCCTATAGTGTTTCACCTTACGGACAATGTCCGATGTCTTATGGGCGCTCATCGGTTAGAAGAGAAACTATGCCGTCAGGTTTTGCTACGGATTTACAGAGATCAAGGGCAGGGCTGCTAGAGTTGGTCCTTCTGCCCTATTCCCGTAGAAGTACTTCTACATAATAATAATAATAATATAAAAAAAAAAGTTAGGTGCGGATCCATTTTCTGTTCTTAGCGACCAGCATCTTAAACCTATTCTATACGTCACCGACAGAAGCGACAGTACAACCGGTGGCGTGCAAATAAACAAGAAGCGGGAACATTTATGTGCTGTGACCTCGACGAAATGTGGAGTAGAAGGTAATAAACGTGTGACATCAACACGGGGTGGTTTCAGGAACTGGAGGAATAGTAGAGGGCGTGTGTTTTAGTAATCAGATAAGCAGAGAGTCCCTGAGCCGAGCTGACGCGAGCGAGGGCAGAGGGAAAACTGCACGCGCGTTCAAGCCACTTCTGTAACGGGGACGAGATCAGAATAATCATCTTTTTATTTCATTTTTAAGGCGAATAGTTACAACTTTAACTATTAAGTATCAGGTTGTTTCCAAACACCCCGAGTGTACGAGTGTTTTTGCAACATATTTTGAACGGATCTAGGCGGTTACGCAGGCTTTTCCAAACCTCGGCGGAGTACCAGCAGTGGATGGCATTCGTTTGCAGTGTTAAACCGTCTGAGACATGTAAGCATTCATGACTTGCGAATCATAATTATTTTCGCGAAATTTTATATTTTTTTGTATATTCTTAATGTGTAATCTGTGCATTTACCAGTAAGCGAGCTTCTCTACGCACCAGTTCCAGTGCATGTGGGATCATCTGCGGCTGTAAGGAATACAAGATATAGTCAAATAAGTAATGTTCAAAAACGTTAATATTTACTTAAGATGTATCAACTCACATAACAGACAATTAAGTTTACCACGAAATACTTGGTTTTATGTAAATTAGTACACTATGAATAATGTGTCGGAAAAACCGGTGCTGAACAGAATATTTCTTCTATACATTTTACCGTGTACGGTTTTGGGGCTAAAATGATTTCAGGGATAGCTACTTGGACATGTACAGTTTTTTGTGTTTATTTTCGGGGTCTTGTTCTTCACTTACGAGTTGAGCGAGCACGTCAGCTAGGCTAACGCCAGCTATCCGTACAGGACGGGAATGCGGGGGTGTGCGACTGCGCACGCGCGCCTGCAGCGCGAGCGTCCTGCGCGTGGTCCGCCGCGTCCGCTCTTTTACTGGTACAGCAGGGCGCGAGTGTTTCTTGTTATTCACAGTGTTTCTTGTTTTTTTTACAGTACTCCATTTAGCCTATGTACATTCATATTTTGTCTCCCCAGGTGACTGATTGGAAGCCCCTTTGAAAGTCCCTAACTCGAGATCGTTGTCAGCAGACAATGGTTTGGTGTCATGAGCGTGTTCATCAGATTATGAGGGCTGAGCAGAGCGAGAGTGACGGATAGCATGGAGACCCCTTTCTATCATGATGACACCCCTGACCTTCCCCAGCTGGAAGCACTCCCACAATATCCAAGGCACCAGACCCACAAGGTGATGAATAAGAGAAACATGGCCGGTCAGAGTTTTCCTGCTGCTGTGGGTGGTTCCTCTGGGCTGAAACTCTTGCAGGAGCAGCCTGCAGGTTCAGGGGCCAACTGCAGGGCCAGCCCCACTGGCGTGGGCATCAGCGGCGGTGCCAGCGGCCCTCTGCTGGCTGCGTCCGACATGAGTCTCCTGAAGCTGGCAGGACCTGACCTAGAGCATCTCATCATTCACTCCCCCCAGGGCAGGGGAAGCACCAGTCCTTTCCTCTACCGTGGCCAGGTGACCAATGAGCAAGAAGGCTTCGCTGATGGTTTTGTAAAGGCTTTGGCCGACCTGCATAAACAGAATCAGCTGGTGGGGGCCCCCATTTCTCCGTCTCCCCCTGTTCCGGGTGCTTACCAGAGGGGTGTGGGCCTTACGGGGGAGATGCCTGTATACACCAATCTTAGCAGCTACAGCCCTGCCCAGATGCCGCAGTCTGCGCAGTACCCTCCCGGGCCCTTGGCTTACCCTGGCACTACACACAGCCGTGGCCCCGACGAGCCACAGACGGTCCCCGATGTACCCCACCCACCCGGGGACTCTACTGGCCCCTCGCCGCCAGCACTGTCACCCGTCGACCTGGAGACGCAGGAACAGATCAAGGCGGAGCGGAAGCGGCTGCGGAACCGCATCGCTGCCTCCAAGTGCCGCCGGCGCAAGCTGGAGCGCATCTCGCGACTGGAGGAGAAGGTGCGCACGCTCAAGGGCCAGAACGCCGAGCTGGCCTCCACCGCCGGCCTGCTCCGCCAGCAGGTGGCGCAGCTCAAGCAGAAGGTGGCCAACCATGTCACCAGCGGTTGCCAGATCGCCGTGAGCTCTGCCTCGGCAGCCAAGAGCGGGGAGGCTTCCGGCTGCTGAACCTGCTGGGTGGGTTAGCTGCAGGGGTGGGGGCGGGCCAGGGCT